CCGAGCCTGCAGCGCTCAGCACCCTCTGGGTGGCTCAGCTCCGACACCACCGCTGCAATCCCAGCATCTTCGTGGAGTCCCGCGGGAGCTGGGGTGCAGCCTGCCCCCCAGGGCTCGGGGTGCCCGGGGAGAGCTGGGCATCCCGCAGGATCCCAGTGCCAGCCTCTCGCTCTGCAGGCCAGGCTACTGGGAGCAAAGCTCCTGGAGCAAAGCGGCTGAGAAGACACCAGCGTCCGCTCCACGCTCTCCCCTTTCGCCAAAGTCGGGAAGTTTTTTTTGGGATTGGGGCTGGCAAGGCCTTGCGTTGCACGTGCCCTTAAGGGACCTCGGGGTCCATCTGGACTTCGGGAGGTGTTGCCAACCCGACAGCACCTGTTCACAGCAAAAACCCCATCGGCTCTTTAATTAGTTTCCCGCTTCCCGCCGGCCCTTCTGCGTGCGGCCGGAGCGGCCAATGTGTGCCCGGGGTCCCGCTCCCACCCCCATGACTGCAAGGGAACGCAGACTGCCATTCTGGCCGGAGGACTACGTTTCAAACTCCCGTTTCATTCCCCCCAGCCTTCCCAGCTCGACCTGCCACGGAAATGCAGGGCATCCCCCCGCAGAAATGGGGCAGCTGCCGCGGCCGCAGCACGGGACGTGAATGCGTTGTCCTTTCGGGGCAGGGGATGGAAGTCTGTGCGCTGGGGGTTTGCCAGGAGAACAGCAGGAGATGCTCTCTCCTAGGATCAGTGATGGGCATCAGAACGCAGCATTCCTACGGCAGCAACCCACTTTACCAGCGTGGGGTGATACGAGCACCACAGATGCCTCCACAAAACTCCTCTCTGGTAGGGTAAGATCATTTTTCTCCTTCAAAACTCCTCTCTGGTAGGGTAAGATCATTTTTCTCCTTCAAAACTCCTCTCTGGTAGGATAAGACCATTTTTCTCCTTCAAAACTCCTCTCTGGTAGGATAAGACCATTTTTCTCCTGCAATTACAGAGCAGGTTTAGCGCTACTGAGCTTCTGAGATCTAGTAAGATCAGGACTTGGTTATGCCGTGACCTCATTGATGACCCATTTAAATCTTTGCAGGCTCAGAAAGAGGAAAAACTGAATTTCACACTGAGAAAGGCCAAAGGCAGCAAAGGAGGAGAAAGAAAATGGGCTCCAAGCTGGAAGGTGCCCCCAGCACTGCTGTGGCTGAGGCAGATGGAGCCAGCACCGCGGCAGCAGGCTGAGCCCTGCTCGCTGACCGGGTGGGTTTTCACACGTATAGGCAGGCGGCGCAGGAGATGCAGCACCCCTGGGTGCAGGGGCTGCTGCAGCTGCAGAGAAGGGGCTGCAGTTCCAGCTGGAGGTGCAGGAGCTGAGGACCGCGGACGCCAAACTGGCGTGGAGGCGCTGTGGGATGGGCCTGATCCCACCCGGCGCGTGGCTGTGGCAGAGCTCTTTCGGCGGAGCCCGCAGGTAAGCCAGGGGCAGGGAGAAGCTGGGGTGGGCTGTGCCGGCGGTGGGGCGCTCCCTGCTCAGAGG